CAAATAGGGGACCTCTTGAACAAATAGGAGGCTCCATGGAATTGGACAAGTAGGAGCTAGAGGCCCTCTGTGCGAATAGGAGGCCCCCTGGACAAATAGAAGGCTCCCTTAACAAAAAGGAGTCCCTTCAAAAAAGGAGGCCCCGGGACAAGTAGGAGACCTTTGGACAAATAGAAGGCCCCTGCACAAATATGAGACCCCTAGTCGAATAAAAGACCCCTGGATAAATAGGAGGCCCCTGGACAAATAGGAGGCCCCTGAACACGTAGGAGGCCCCCTAGATAACGAGGAAGCCCCCTGGAAAATAGAAGCCCCTGGATAAATAGGGGACCTTCTGGAGAAACAGGAGGCCTCCTGGACAAATAGGAGGCCCCATAGACGAATAGGAGGCCGCTTGGACAAATAGGAGGCGCCGTTAACCAATAGGAGGCCCCCTAGACAAACAGGAGGCCCTCTGTAACAGTAGGAGGCTCTCTGTACGTACAAGAGACTGGCGCTCGACCTGTAGAAGCTTAGCTGTATGTACAGTCTGTCTTAAAAGTACCGCGCAAAGTGACGGTGGATCCATCGAGCCTGACTGAGGAAGGGCCTGCTTTAGTATGAAAGTCACCGACCAACATGATCTAGGGAATGGACGAAGATGTCAATTGCTTCGATGACCCAAATTTAGCAGGCCCTTCCTCGGTCAGGCTCGATGGATCCACCGTCACTTTGCGCGGTATTTTTAAGACAGACTGTACACTAGGAGGCTCTCTGTGCAAGTAGTCGAAGTAGGAGGCTCTCTGTACTGTACAGTCTGTCTTAAAAGTACCGCGCAAAGTGACGGTGGATCCATCAAGCCTGACCGAGGAAGGGCCTGCTATAATTTGAAAGTCACCGAACCAATGGAGCTGGGGAATGGACGAGGATGTCCATTGCTTCGGTGACTCAAATTTGGCAGTCCTTCATCGGTCAGGCTTGATGGATCCACCGTCACTTTGCGCGGTACTTTTAAGACAGACTGTACCTACAATTACAAATAAGAGGCCCCCTGGGCAACTTAGATGCAACACAAATCGGAGGTCACCTTTAAAAAGCGAGACTCTGTTGGAATACCTGATTTAATAAATTATTTTCCTGATATTCAAATTGCTTAGGTAATCCTCGTCCGCACATGGGGGGGGGGGCAGTGGTTGCCACACACACACCCGCCCTAGGTAGTTTTTTCTGCTCTGCACTAAACATTTTGATTGCTAGAAGTCGGATGTTTCGTATAGCTGCTGCTCTATCCTTTTTTAGCGTCCACTGAAAATTTCAAGTTTCTGTGGTTTTTGGTTTCGGAGATATGACCTTATTCTTCAGGTAATGTCATAACCCAAATGACAAATACCCAATATCTTGCGTTGGCGTTGGGTCTTGTGAGCTTTTGACACCTTGATTTCGGCCTTTTTTGTCAGTCTTACCTCCCACCTATCATGGAACATGTTGTTCAATGATGTAGAGATGCCAGGGTCAGGATCAAGGTCAACCTAGGTCGTCTAAAAATATTGCGTTTTAGGCAAGCTGAATTTACTTTCGTGAAGTTTCTTTGACTGTATTTTTGGTAAAAGCTTCTTAGTTCATGATCTCATGTAATATGGACACATTCACAATCGGTGCACACATCAGTATACACACAGACACACACAGACATACAAACACATGTCATTGACCTTGAGCTAACTTGACCTGAAATGACCACAGCCAGCAAAAACCTAGTCGGATAGTGTGACAAAGAGGTTCAAGCTGGCTTGGCACCACAATATGGCAGCGTCATCGGTATATGATGAGCAGCGCACGTGATATCCCAACGGGCAACGGTGACCCCAAACAGCAACATTCTTTAGTTTGACCTGACCTGGAAGGTCAATGACTGACCTGATGAGGTAAAATTGGTATCATTGGATTCGTCTCTTCCCAAAGAATCTGTTGCTCTGGACCGCAAGGCTTAAAATCTTGTAAGAAAAAATTGTGTTGATGTCGAATAAGATACCTACACAAGCAGCGGGCCAACCCATCATATACCGATGACGCTGCCGTATTAGTGCCAAGCCAGCTAGAACAGCTCTTTGTCACACTATCCCACTAATTTGCTGGCTATGGTCATTTCACGTCAAGTTAGGTCAAGGTCAATGATATGTGTTTGTATGTCTGTGTATGTCTGTGTATGTACTGATGTGTGCACAGATCGGTTTGTGTGTCCCTATTACACTCGATCATGAACTGAGAAGCTTTTACTAAACATACAGTCAAAGAAACTTCACGAAAAGTAAATTCAGCTTGCCTAAAGCGCAATAATTTTAGATGACCTAGGTTGACCTTGACCCTGACCCTGACATCTGTACATCGCAGAACAACATGTTCAATGATAGGTGGGAGGTAAGACTGGCAAAAAAAAAACGAAATCAGCGTGTCAAAAGCTCACAAGGCCAATAGCCATCGCAAGATATTGGGTATTCGTCATTTAGGACATGACATGAACTGAAGAACAAGATCATATCTCCAAACCGCAAAAGCCACAGAAACTTGAAATTTTCAATGGACGCTGAGAAAAGATAGAAAAGCAGCTATACAAAAAAAAATCAGGTTTCTAGCTTTAAAAATGTTGTAGAGCAGAAAAACTAACTTGGGGGTGGCGACCCTCCCCCCAGGTGCGGGCGAAGGTTAACCCTCACACTTTTTGGGGTCGGCTTACGGCTAGATTCCTTGCGCAATGCTGTGCCGTTAATTTTTTTTTTCTATAATAAAGGCATTGTGTTTTATTGTCAAAAATGAAAAAGCCAGAGATTTTCGTCTATTTCGGATGCCGCGGGGGATATTTACATACAATGTCACCCTGCTGGCCTGGATCCACCAGTAGGGTCAGGTGACCTACCATTTCTTTATCAAAATTAACCCGCGCCGGGCCGGTGCTCTGAGATTCCGCGCCGGGCCGGGGGGGGGGGTGTCTGAACACCCCCCCTTCTAACTCGGCTCCTGGGCCACGTAGCGATACGCGGTTAGCGGCAATCGAAAGAACGTCCAAAATAAGGACGAAAACACTTCGGTCATTTTTTGGGTCAGGTCAAAGGTCAGGTCACCAGAGGTCACCAAAGGTCAAATGTCCACTATTTCAACATTTTGGAAACTGCCAACGGCTATCTCGGGAACCGATAGAGCTACAGCGCCGCGGAAAAGCGCATTCGATAGCCCTTTTACAGACCTTTCTGAGTATTGTTCTCAGATTTGACCTCAGGTCAACGGTTTAGCCTCCAGGGGGCAAAAACTCCAAAAATAGCCGTTTTTACGAAAAACGTTTTTTCGGCAATAACTTTTGACTCAAAAGAGTCATGACATTACTTTTGCCAGCATCGTGTTCCTCTCGTCGAGACGCGTCGAATGAACTATAATTTGACCTTGAAAGGTCAACTTGAAAATTTGACCTCAGGTCAAGGTCATGACCTGACCGGAAAAGGTCATGTTGCATATCAGTCGATCCGCAACGTCGAGCCGAACACATCTAAGGCGTTTTCAGCGCTCTAGCACGTCTCTATCAGAAGTTATTAGCGAAAAACTGTTAGATTCTGTTCGTGACCTGAGATGACCTCGGGGACAAAACGAGGGGTCACAGTTGCCATTTTCCGGTTCAGTGTGTCCATTTTACCTACATCTCGATGTTTGAGAGTGTCTAGAATAACGTTCGTGCAAAACAGACGCTTTTCAATTTTCTCCCATTGACTTATAATGGAGAGGTCGCAAAATTGACCTGACCTTAGGTCACCGATATCAAAATTCCGAGATATACATTTTATAGATATTGTTGCTCTAATCAATCGCTGAAAGTTTCAAGGCAATCGATCAATCGGTGTAGCTATGACGAGCATTCTTATTTTTTCTGAGGTGAGGTCACTTGGCGTGACCTGGTGACCTGACCTAAGGTGACCTGGGTCTGAAATTTTCACAACATGTGCGGAAAAGATGTACGAACAGGTGTGCTAAAAACGGCGGCGCTCCGCGCCGCCGTTTTTGAGATATCTGCGAAAAACCGCAGGGGGGGTGTTCAAACACCCCACCCCCGGCCCGGCGCGGGTTAAAAAAAAAATCATGGCATCAGAGCTGTGACGAAAAATAAGTGGCCTAAATCCGATGAGAAAACTGGATTTGAGGGTACCCCAGGTTTGGCTTCTGAGCCTCTGGTCCCCCAATGAAAATTTCTTAGAGGAGGCCCTGGCGTGGTTCGTAAATTACCGCTTCCGCAATTGGAGGCCCCTAATTGCTTGGAGGCCCCCACTAAATGGAGGCCCCCTTGGACGTTTGGGACCCCAATGGTGATGTCAAAGTTTCACCCATGAATATGGACAGTGGACACATAAACAATCGTTCCACACATCAGTATACACACAGACACACACAGACATACAAACACATATAATTGACCTTGACCTAGCTTGACCTGAAATGACCTCAGCAGCAAAAATCTGGTCGAGTAGTGTGATAAAGAGGTTCTAGCTGGCTTGGCACCAGAAAACGGCATCGTCATCGGTATATGATAAGCAGCGCACTTGATATCCAACGGTGACCCAAAACAGCAACATTTTTTAGTTTGACGGTCAATGACTGACCTGAGAAGGTAAAACTGGGTGTCATTGGATTTGCCCTTCCCAAAGAATCTTTTTTATCTTTACCGCTAAGCTCTATATCTCCAACAGGAACGAAATGGCGCGGGGTGGGGGTGGCAACCCCCCCCCCATGTGCGTTCTAGGATGGGAAAATGGCATGTGCGGGCGAGGGTGCATGTTGATGTAAGCACAGACATCCAAACACTCAGACGGGTACCTAGCACACAGAGAAGACACACAAAGAATCACACCATCACATACACACCGTTACACAAACACATGTAGTCTGACAATAGACACAGACGCACAAAACACACTCAGACAACAGACACAGGGACACACAGACCCCCCCCCCCCCCTCACACGCAGGTCGGCCCGGCTCACCTGATATTCGCCGCCTCCGCCGTGGTCGGCTCCGGTGGACAGAGCTCAGTACCGTCCACACACTGTTGGACCACCCGCTCTGTCCACTGACACGGCCGGTGGACGCAGTGCAGCTCGTGCGGCTCCCGCTCCTCCGTCGGCCTTTGTCCCGGTCCCGGAACTGCGCCGGACATCAACACCCCGAGTCGGTGTGTCGGCAGAATCGATCGTGTTCAGTGAGTCGGCGGCGCGGTGTCCTGGCCTGATGACGTCAGCGGGGGGTCACCAGGGTTACAGGGACAACACGGGCCGCCGGTCGATGTGCAGTCCCCCACCCCTCCCCTTCCCTTCCCTTCCCCAATCCCCGGGACAACTCTGCAACTCGGCAAAGCAAAACTCAGTGACGACTGACGAGCAGGCATGAACGGTTGAAAAACAAAACCGATGATAGGCGTAAATGGGTAATGGTGAGCGGTGGCGCAAAAAGGGCCGCTCGATTTGCATAGGCCGCGAACAAAGGGTCGTCGCCGCCGCCGCCGCCGCCGCGGAGTCGCGGTGTCGCGGCCTGCAGCCGGCAGCGGCCCCTCCCCGTCGGAGCAGCGGAGGAGGGTGCGTGCCGCGGGGAGGGGAGCCGGCGGTGGGGGAGGGCGCCGGCACCTGCCGACCACCTGGTGCCCCGCGGCGCCCCGGCGCCCTCCAGCCAGGCGTGACCGCGCCGCCGGCGCCCTCCCCGCCCTTGACCCGACATAGACCCACCGCCGCCGCTGCGCCGCGACCGCCGCCAGCGCGAGCCGACGGTGACCATTGTGACGCACACCGGGCGGGGCGCGCGCCGCGCTCGCCCCCAGTGCGCCGCATTCGTCCTCAGCCGTCCGTGAAATCCCATTTGGCGCATTGTGCGAGCGGGAGACGCGTGCGGCGCCGGTGAGAACAGGTGGAAAGGTTTCCCGGCGGTTGGGTCACAGCGCGCCGGTCAGCGGGCGGCCGCGGGCCGGGACGACAACCGAGGTCCTTCGGCGGCCCGCCGACAACGTTGACAAATCGTGTTTTGTATTTTACACTCGCACAAGGTCACACGGGTCGCCTGTGCGACACTGTGCGAAATTTGTTCTCAACGGGAATAAAGTGAGTCGGTGACAAACAAAAATCGGCACGGAGCACCGTACCGGAACCTATGGCCATTTAGCACGGTATGTCAGTTGACCCGCGGACCATGTAAAAGGCAAAGTGGGTGGCGCCATTCATTCTTCCACTGGGGGCGTTCCACGACAAATCGACAAATAAAAAATTAAATTTGCACCCTCATATTTTATTTTTCGTTGAAAACTGGTGTAAGGGGTTGTGATGGGCGGGGAAGCCAGCTGTGGCAAGGATTTTTTTCTTCGAACAACGGTTTCCGAGATATAGCCTCGGGCAATTCCAGCAGGTCGCGCTGCAGCCCTATGTTTGGCGGCCTATAACTCAGAAACTGTTGGTTTTCTACGATAAAAACTTTATATGGTTCAACTCACAATCAGCCAACAAACATTTTGGCTATCTCGGATTTTCAATTTTTGAAAATTTTGATCACGTGACCTTTTGATCTATTTTTCGAAGAGTGGCCTTGATATTTTCCCCACTGAAAGTTCCAATTTTGTCTGATGACGATTAAAGCCTTATCAATTTTCATTCATATGCGAAAATAAAAAAGTGGATATCGCCCTGCGTTGACCTCAGGTCAGGTCATTTTTATGACCTGTCCATTATTACGAGCGGGAGCGACAGCGAGATCTCGAGAATAAAACAAGATAGCGACAAGCGATAAACGGTGCAGGGTACAAATGGATAAGGTCTATAATTTTTACCGAGGTCATTTTCAGGTCAGGTCAAAGATGACGTCACAGGAGCAAAAAGGAAGTCAAAATTGCGGCACTACATATATATGAAGTTTTTCTAGAATAACTTTCAAGGTATCCCAGCTAGGAACAAACTAATAGCACCATCGTGATCCTCTCGTCGATCCGCATCGAGATATATGTATGTTGACCTCGAAAGGTCGAAAGTTCAAAAGTTGACCTTCGGTCACGTGACGAGCGGGAGCGACAGCGAGATCTCGAGAATAAAGCAAGATAGCGACAAGCGGTAAACGGTGCAGGGTACACACGGATAAGGTCTATAATTTTTATTCAGGTCATTTTCAGGTGAGGTCAAAGATGACGTCACAGGAGCAAAAAGGAAGTCAAAATTGCGGCATTAAATATATGAAGTTTTTCTCGAATAACATTCAAGGTATCCCAGCTAGGAGCAAACTAATAGCACCATCGTGATCCTCTCGTCGATCCGCATCGAAACATATGTATGTTGACCTCGAAAAATCGAAAGGTCAAAAGTTGACCTTAGGTCACGTGACCTAGGGTCAACTTTTGACCTTTCGACCTTTCGAGGTCAACATACATATGTTTCGATGCGGATCGACGAGAGGATCACGATGGTGATATTAGTTTGTTCCTAGCTGGGATACCTTGAAAGTTATTCGAGAAAAACTTCATATATATGTAGTGCCGCAATTTTGACTTCCTTTTTGCTCCTGTGACGTCATCTTTGACCTGACCTGAAAATGACCTCAGTAAAAATTATAGACCTTATCCATTTGTACCCTGCACCGTTTACCGCTTGTCGCTATCTTGCTTTATTCTCGAGATCTCGTTGTCACTCCCGCTCGTAATAATGGACAGGTCATAAAAATGACCTGACCTGAGGTCAATGCAGGGCGATATCCACTTTTTTTATTTTCGCATATGAATGACAATTGATAAGGCTATAATCGTCATCAGACAAAATTGCATTTTTCAGTGGGGAAAATATCAAGGTCACTCTTCGAAAAATAGGTCAAAAGGTCACGTGATCAAAATTTTCAAAAATTGAAAATCCGATATAGCCGAAATGTTTGTTGGTTGATTGTGAGTTGAACCATATAAAGTTTTAATCGTAGAAAATCAATAGTTTTTGAGTTATAGGCCGCCAAACATAGGGTTGCAGCGCGACATCCAGGAATTGCCCGAGGCTATATCTCGGAAACCGTTGTTCGAAGAAAAAAATCCTTGCCACAGCTGGCTTCGCCGCCCATCACAACCCATTAGACCAATTTTAAGCAAAAAATAAAATATGAGGGTGCAGGGCACTTGTCGATTTGTCGTGGAACGCCCCACTGGTCGTTTGCCGCTAGCACTGTCAGGGAGCCGACCAAGGTAACTACCGCCCCCTCTCGATAAACTGCAGGAATGGAGCTGAGCTGCTCACACCTCGGTACATACCGAGAGACAATGGCGCCGCGTCTTCCGTGGGTGAAAACCGACAATTTTCTGGCTTTGAAAATTGCAGCCTGCATTTGAAAAAAATGCACTTGCATTTGAGCCTGCAGTGAAGTATGCAAAAGTCAAATAAATATGTGACGCCTCAATCAAAAATGAATTTATCGGTGTTTTTGATAAAGCTATTTTAGATTTACACCGAAAGAGTAGTACCTTGCTTGAAATAATCGTGCTTCTGCCTCATGCTGCTTGTCACGGAAAATTTATTTTCTACCGTGGATCTGGTAAAGCACTAATGGCTCTGTCAACAACCAACGGTAAGCCACCAAGGCTTGTGGTAGGTTATCATCACTGTAAGCCATCATGGAATGCCACCGATCAGGGTGGTCACATTGATCTGTAAAGAGCTGCTGACGGGCCCCGGTAGCTCTGTTTGCTATACACTTCGTCAGGCGTGTGACACATTCATGGCAGCTCTGGGACCTGACCGATAAACTGTGGCAAACGGTGGCGTGCAGATTTCTACCGTGAAACCCACCAAACCCACTCTTTCTCCTGATATGCAGACATTAAAAATCCGACAAATAGTTGCGAACAGGAAATCAAAAGTCAGGAGCAATTCAATGCATAACGACTTAACCCGCGCCCCACTGGGGGGGCTATTTATAGCCCCCCCTCCCGTTTTTCTGCAATAACTTCCAAACCGCTTGACGTATCGACGCCAAACTTTCAGTACCTTAGGCTGCATCAATTTGACACCTTGTGTCTAAATTTGAACTTCGTACCTACTATAGGTCGGCCGGAAATGACGTCAGAGTGACGTCATGTTCGGCCGATTTCGACGCAAAACATTGAACCACGGCAATCACTCCCAAGAGCTCAGTTTTTAAGCTAGATCCAATTTCTTTGCATGAGAGGACTCAGAATAGACTGCGCTATCAAACTGCTATCTCGGATTTTCGAAATTTTGAAAATTTCGGAAATTTTATATAATAACATCCAAAATTTATATTTTTACATTTTTTCAAAAAGTTTTTGACTTTTCGAAAAAAAAACGGAATATATGTGATAGAACGCTTTATTATGACTAACTCTAGCAAGTTTTAGCTAAATATCTTCAAAAATGGCCAAGTTTTACGCATTATTGCAAAAAATCACAATTATTAATTTTTCAAATCAATTTTTCAGCACGTATTTGACATCGTACGTCAATATAAATAGCACCATCGTATTCCTGAGCTCAAACTGCATCCAGTAGACACCTTTTTTGTTAAAAAATTTTAACTTCAAAATTTGACCTTTTTTGACCTGAAAGTGACCTAACATAAGCTAAATTCGACTCAAAATGACCTCAAATAACACAGACGACATCAAATTCGAAATATCTGACCTAAATGGACCATAAAACATGTGTCACGTGACCGACGCATGATATAATATTTTCGTGACCTGTGATGACCTGACCTTGACCTGAAAATCAAAGTACAAGTTTGGTACCCTCAGGGTAACTAGAGCATCTGTTCCCGAGTGTGTGATCCAAAAATGAGCCTGGTCTGACTTGTAAGACGGCGGCCAGAGCCCAAAACGTGATCAAGCCAAAATGCTAATAATTTTTACTTTGACCTGACCTGTGACGTCATCGGTGACCTCGAGGTCAATGAAATTAGGTTTCGCTCGACAGTTTTTCCGGGGCTATCAGACGCCGTTTGAATTTTGACGATCGGCCCAGTAGTTTCGGAGTTAGGAGGGGGGGCTATGAATAGCCCCCCCCCCAGGGGCGTAGGATCCTATACAGTTGGGGGGGCTTCAGCCCCCCCAACCTGCTGGTCAGCCCCCCCAACTTGCCAGGCAGCCCCCCCAACATTATAAAATATGGACAAATTAAGAAAGCTCAACTTGGCAAAGTTACAATTTTGGGTAGTAGTAAAGCAGGCGTCACACTTCTTTTTGCAACCAAGGAGATGCGCTGTAG